GAGCTGCTGGTCAATTTTTAGTTATAAATGTCACTTTTGCTTTAGTACATTTCACAGCATTTTATTTGCAGGTTCAAGGCATTGGCCAAGCAACTTATTTAAAGGAATTGTGTGTTTTTTATGTTAACCTTTAAGCTTTTTTCTTTTTTTAAAAAAAAAAAAAAGCTACTCCCAGCTGCTGAACTGTATTTTTTTTACATATTTTCTTTTTTTTGGCGTTGGTATATGTCCATAGTAGCAGCACCTAGGTACCTATACCCATTTCAGAATTGGGCTCTTTATAGGCACCCTTAGGTATCAAAAAAATGATAACCTATTCTCAATGAAACTGCAGCTGACTTTATAGCTGCATGTCTACTTATTTTTATTTGCATTTGTCTCCTAAAGTTCCCATTAATTACTGTACATAATTATTAAGTGGTTACTGTAAACTTCTGTATGAATTAAATGTAAAGTGTTTTCTAATTTGTACAACAGCATATGAAACAAATAAACAAATTGTGGCAACACAAGGAGAAGCATACTTTAGATTACTCAGCAAACATGTTGTTGTTGGCACACAGGAAAGATATGGAAGCTATGGGGCAGATTAACTATCCTATAGTGTAATCAGTATCTAACAATACTACCTTTTAAAATGGCTACTTTATCTTGTTTTTCAAGTGCTGTTTTCCCTGTTTCATTCTTTTATTGCTTTTGTTTTGCATTACTTTATCATAAATCACCTTCATTTAACATTGTATGATCAACAATGTCCAACTGTCTTGTGACACCTTGTTTTCCAGTGGAGCATTCCCTTCTCCTCCTTATACCAATGTACTCTCCTGCAACTTTACCTCCTTGACTCTTTTTACCTTAAGACTTTCCCTAAAGCAACCTAACTGGTTTATTTTGGAGATAACTGTGCACTCACAGCATTGGATATAATTAGTTATATTCTTTTGCACATTTGGCACAGTGGTCTCAGAGTAATCCTCCAAAGTCTTTCCTTGACTACTGTCCATTGTTTTACTAATATTGTGGCTTCCTCCTCCCTGCCTTCCTTTTTAATAGGTAATCATCATTTCTGCTTTTCAAATATTTTACAGCCTATCGATGGGTATGAAGGACATTTACCTGTATGATTATATTTGGTGATTACCACTAGGAAGTTATAGTATTAACTACTGGTATTCACTGAATGTATCTCAGAAATAGTATTTGGATTCAGCACTGACATTTGTGAACAGGGAATGAGTTGATGTCTCTAAACACAAAGGACAAAATGCAGCTCAAACCTAAAAATACAAACATGAACATAATAGTTTTCACAAAGGTTTTCCAAATGTAAGGGTTTGTCACTATAACTAGTATGTTGTATTTTTTTGTTTTTTTATTTAACCACTTCCATACCGGACACTTTTACCCACTGCCTGCCCAGGCCAATTTTCAGGTTCAGCACTCTCACACTTTGAATGACAATTGTGCAGTCATGCAACACTGTACCCAAACTAACTTTGTATCATTTTGTTAACACAACTAGAGCTTACTTTTGGTGGTATTTAATCACCACTAGGGTTTTTATTTTTTTTGCTAAATTAACAAAAGAAATCCGAAAATTTTGGAAAATAACACACGTTTTTCTCTGTTTCTGTTATAAAAGTTTGCAAATAAATAAATAATTGTTCTTCTTAAATTTAGGCCAAGATGTATTCTGCTACATTTCTTTGGTGAAAATAACCCAAATCAGTATTTATTATTTTATCTGTAGGAAAGTTATAGAGTTCACAAACTATGCTATATATCTGAAAATTGATCAATCCTGAAGTAATGACAGCCAATCTAATTTCTTGAGGCCCAAAAATGTCAAAACAGTACAGATATCCCCCAAATGACCTCTTTTTGCAAAGTAGACAGTCTGACATATTTCGTAAGACACATGAAAAATTTTTTGAAGTTGTAATTTTTTTGTCATAATTTATTGGAAAATTAAGAAATTAAAAAAAAATATTTTCACAATTGTTTTTACATACTGTCATCAGTGCAGTACAGCATCATCATATAACTGGTGTGGGCAGTGATCAGGGACACTGATTGGTGACAGTAGGAAAAAAAATTAATAATTTTTTTTTAATTTTTATTTGATAACTTTTTTTTAATTTTTTTTAATTTTTTTTTTCTCTTTTTTTAAGATTTTCATTTCATATTACACTATGACCAAAGTAGTATAATGTTACCATAGTAACATTTTGCTACTTTGGGGAAGTGATCAGTATTTTTTTTTCACACAATTTGATTGCTTATAGCAAAGAATTTCTTTGCTATAAGCAAGCATTTAAATGAATGAAATCGATTCATTCAGGTCTTTTTGTTGTGATAAGCCATGATTGGCCACAGCTAACCACATGACATATATGGGCTGTGATTGGCCCAGCCTGTGCATGTGATCACTGACAATTCACTGCTAGACACACTTTTTTACAATGGATGGCATGAAAGGAAGCCATCCATTGTTTACAACTGTCATGTGATCTGCTGTGATTGGTCACAGCAGGTCACATGGTACTTGCAATGGGCCGGTACACAGATCTGTAATCGGCTGTGTCAGAGGTACACAGCCGATGACAGATCTCGCCTCAGCGCTGCCCCACGGGTATTGGCAAGGCGCAATCCGGGAATGACATCATATGACGCCCACCTGGATCGACGAGAGTCCCGTCCGGCCATCATTTTCCTATTGGCCAGGTGGGAAGTGGTTAACAACTTGCCCTCCTGAGGATTTACCATCCTTCCTGACAAGGCCTTTTTTTGCTATTTGGTGCTGCACTATTTCAACTGGTAATTGCACGGTCATGCCATGCTGTGCCCAAACAAAATTTACGTCCTTTCTTTCGGTGGTATTTTATCACCTGTGCGCCTTTTATTTTTTGTGCTATAAACACAATAAAGTCCAAAAATTAAAAAAAAAAAACAATATTTTTTACTTTCGACTATAAAAAATATATAGTAAACTCAAGATTAGTCATAAACTTGGGCCAAAATGTATTCTGCTACATGTTTTTGGTTACAAAATCCAAATAAGTGTATATTGATTGCTTTGTGTGAATGTTATAGCGTCTACAAACTATGGTATAGATAATGGAATTTACACAGCTTTTACTTTTTTACTGCCTATCAAATTTTTTGAGGCGCTGAAATACCAGGATAGTACAAACACCAGCAAATGACCCATTTTCGAAAAGTAGATACCCTCAGCTATCTGCTGAGAGGCATATTAAGTCCATGAAAGATTTATTTTTTTTCCACAAGTTTGTGGAAATTGACACAAACATTTTTTTTTTACACAAAGTTGTCACTTAAATGATATATTGCTCACACTAGCCATGGGTATATGTGGAATTACACCCCAAAATACATTCTGCTACTTCTACCAAGTATGGGGATACCAGATGTGTGAGGCTTTTTGGGAACCTAGCCACATACAGGAGCCTGAAATCCAATGACCACTTTGAAAGCCTGAAGGTGCGTAACTTCCTCGTTTCACTTCCTCACTGCCTATCACAGTTTCTGAGGCCCTGAAATGCCAGGATAGCACCAAACCCCCCCCCCCCCCAAATTACCCCTTTTTGGAAAGTAAACACCCCAAGGAATTTAAAAAATGACATGGTGAGTGTTTTGCAGATCTCATTTTTTCAAGGTTTTGAAATATAAAAAAAGAAAAGAAAAAAATATGTTTTTGTTTTCTTTCTTCATTTTTTAAAAACTTGGGGAAACAAACCAGATCTGCAAAATACTCACCATGGTTCTTCTCAAATTCCTTGGGGTGTCTACTTTCCAAAAAGGAGTAATTTGGGGACGGGGGTTGGTGCTATCCTGGCATTTCAGGGCCTCCAAAACTGTGATAGGTAGTCAGGAAGTGTAATGAGGAAATAAAGCCATTTAAAGGCCTGAATGTCCTTATTGGATTTTGGGGTCCTGTACTTGGCTAGACTGCCAAAAAGTCTCTCACATGAGAAGCAGCAGAATGTATTTTTGGGAGTAACTCCACATATACCCATGTGTGAACAATAAATCATTTAAGTGACAATTTTGTGTAAAAAAAAATTTTTTTTTCTCATTTTCCAAAAACTGAGTAAAAAAATAAATTCTTCTATTGACTCAACATGCCTCTCAGCAAATAGTTTGGGGTGTCTACTTTCCAAAAAGGGGTCATTTTGGGGGGTGGGGGCAGCCCAGCATTAGAAGTATATGCCACACATCACTCACTTTTCTAACCACCTGAAGACCAAGCCTTTTCTGACACTTTTTGTTCACATGAAAAAAGGAAATTACTTAGAACCCCTAAACATTATATATTTAGTAAAAAATACACTTTTTTACTTTTAGTGCACAAAAACACAATATATTGGCCAATTATTTGTTAAAATATAAAAGATGATGGTATGCCGAGTAAACAGATACCAAACATGACTTGCTTTAAAACTGCGCATGCCCTGTGCAATGGTGACAAACTGCATATATTTTTAATATCCATGGGCAACACTTTAAAAGCATTTAGAAGCTACCATATTAGATATACAGAGGATGTCTAGTGCTAGAATTACTGCCCTTGATCTGATGTTCGCAGCGATACCTCACATGCATGGTGCAGCTGCTGTTAACATACTGGCGCGGGGTCAACGTTCGCACACGCAGGTGTGCGCACGCACGGGGGGGGGGGGGGGTGGGGAAGGTGCTTTTTTTTCTTTTAAGTTATTTTGATTTTTCAAAATATTCTTACACTGTCCCTTTCATTTTTTTTTAGCACTTTTAATGCTATCACAGGGAATGCAAATATCCCATATAACTTCAATGGGCATTGTCATATATTCCTTTTTGAGAAATCTGGGGTCTATCAGACTCTAGATATGTCTTCTGCCCTTACATTATCTAATCTCTCCAAGATCAGTGTGATCAGATACTTTCCCAATTTACAAATGGCGCTATTTATATCCTGCAAAACTGAAGTGATGAAAAGTTTGTGGCTTCCGATTTCTTAGACTATAGAGATGATTGGCACCATTCTGGTCTCCAATCAGCTGTATGGTCAGCTGGCAGAAATACCGACTGTATTCTCAGGTTCCCCCAATGGCACAGGACTGCCCGGGAAGGCCATGGAAGGCAGCGGGGGCATCTTCTGTCGATGCTTGTAAATGCAATCCTGCAGCTAATTAGCCACTAGGATTGTTTTACATGAAAGACGATTTCTGACTGAAAAAAACAATACCAGGATGATACCTGCAGCTGTAGGCATCATCCTGGTATAACCACTCAAAGTCCAGTGATGTACCAGTATGTCGCTGGTCCTTGTTGGGTGTATATGCTATGTTCTTTTTTTATATGCAGCCTGTGGAAAAAAAGAAGAAGAAATCTCTGCCAGAAAAAGTGTGTGGTATGCCCACCATTAGAATATACCGCCCTGCATCCACCCACTTCTAATGGTGGGCACACATGAAATGTGCCAAAAAATATTATAAAATATATATACCGAAGCATACGGGTGCTGCAGAATTTATGGGCTGCCATCTACTGACACTGCACTTGCTGTGGGAGAAGGGGGGGGGTAAGCATAGGGGCTGACCCTGATAACGCTGCGTTTTTGGGGACACTATACTAATGTGAATGCTGGTATAGTGCTTATCTGATCAAATATATTGATCCGTTCAGACACTATACTAGCAATGGAGGTTTATTGTGTATGTGAGTCTGTTCCTGGAAATCAAGGGATTAAATGTGATTACTGGTGTACTGATGGACAATCTGACGCTATTTGGGAGGGGTGCTAACTGACGCTAATGCTATCTGAAGTCGCTGGTGAAACTAATACAGTGCTCAGCAAAAAATCTGTATACTGTACTAATGACACTGGTGACAGGGCAGTGAAGGGGTTAGAAGGGGTTAACTGGGGTGGGGTGGGGGTTAAATGTGTCCTAAAGTGTTCTAACTGTCTTGATTCTTCTCTCTCTGGGACAGAATGTGCTCAGAGAGAGAAGATGTCATCACTTTCTGTACCTGTGTAACTGTAAACACAGGTACAGGAATATTCCTGATAGGACAGGGATTGATCGTCCGACTTAGGCCGACCATCACTGGCCTAAATCAGATGATTGATCCCTTGGGGATGAAATCACGACACCCGCAGGTCAGCCCGCAAAATCTGCAGGAGCGCGAATCACGTATATATACGTGATTTTGCACACCAGTGCCGCCCTGTAGCAGTATTTCTGCTATAGGGCGGTGTGGAAGTGGTTAAAATGTATCTAAATGCAAAAACAAACATGTAGTATATTGCATCCTACCAGTTTGTCATGTGGGGGGGGAGTAGCAAATACTGTATCTGTGTGGGATACATTTGTTTTATTTTTTTAAAGCAGAACTCCTGGCACTTCCCACCTTCACTGAATATGTTATTCATCTTCTGGCTCACTCAGTAGTTGCTCTGAATTAGCTTATTTATTTTCAAATCAAACTGTGAATTCCCTTTTGTTTCCTGTTTGTAAGAACAGTGGCTGCTATGCCTCCTGTTCCCCAAGTCACTGGTCTTGGCACATCCTTTCTGTAGTTCTTTCTCCAGCGGTGATGTAATTCAGTCCCACCTGCAGTGGAGGGCGGACCAAGACGCTCAGACACGTTGAAAATGTACAGGCCTAGTGTTTCACATTTACTACAATTTCCTGTGGTTGATGGGAACTGTAGTTTCTTTTTACTGCAGAGAGAGAGGAGAGGATATGATGTAATCTCTGCTGTTACACCTCCTCCTTAGCAGATCAGATGCTGTTATCTTTTGAATTACAGAGATGAGGTCATGAAAATTCAGTTAGACTTTTCTCCTAAATGGTAAGGATTTTAAAAATTTTATTAACTGTTTAGTGTTTTGTGTAGGGGGTGTACTAATGGGTGATTTATTTTGCCTATTCCGGAGTTCTTCTTAAAAGCTTTTAATCCTTTATTTTATCTAGTGCAATGCCAGTAACATACTTCCTGGCCTAGGATGAGTCAGGTCCTGTAGTCTGCAGAACAATGTAATTGTTAACAGAATAATGTAAGTGATAACTGTCAGGAAGTTAAATTGGCCATACACTCTTAGAATTTCAGCCGAAGAACTGGTGGGTATCCCAGCTGGCTTGATAGAAGTCTGCAGCTCAGTCTGGTTGGTCGAAGGGGCCAGGTCAAAAATTATCAGCTGACCAGAACCTGTTTGAGTGTTCTGACAGCCAGTATAGTCAGAATACAACAGCCTGGCAGGGGTTTCATTCATCAAAGGATGGGGGAATTTTTTAGATTACTTTCATTCAGCTTGCAACCTGAACAAAAGAAAAGTATTAAGCCCGGTATCAGCCAGTACAACACAAACCAGCTGACATTTGGACCATGTGTATGGCAGCGTGTCCGATAGAAACAGGTTGAGTGCCTGGCTTCTGTCAAAGGGGCATAACTGAAAAAGATCTGTCGATTGGCATCTGATCAGCGCTCTCAGCCAATAGCTGTGAGCACTGGCAGGTGTGTCCTGGCAGGGGGGCGGTCCCCCTGTTAGAACGCAATAACTCAGCGTGGAGATCACTGTACTAACCTTGGATAGTTATTACAGCTAGCTCCTCTTGATTGCCTCTGTTTTCTTCATTCAGCACACTGGCTTGAACGAAAAAAAACCCCCAAAAAACTGATTGTTTGTACCCAGCTTTAGTGTGTGGCCAGCATGACAAGCTGATAAGATTTTTTTGCAAGATCAACAGGTATTTTTTTTACACAGATATGCCAAGACAAATATAAATGTATAGTTAACAGTCCAAAAGGGAGCAAATATTAAAGTCTAAAAGGGATCAAATATTAGACGTTTAATAATAGGCTTTACCTACTTGTTAATGACTGCATTGTAGTAGCAACTTCAAGTGAATCCAGTTGTCTGTTAATATGAATAGTATGATCTGTCCTTTTCACTACAGATATAAGGATAAATCGTTTGGTCTGTATTATTGAACACTTGTATAAAGCAAATCCAGTTACTATGTGGTCATGATGCTAGTATTGCACTAGCCCAGAATAAGTACTATGGTGTCTGCAGTTATCCACATTATTGATCACAACCGTGATGAAATCTCTAAAAATATGTATTCTGCACATATGATAGGAATATGTTAGTCAACAATGATAAGTTCAAGGTGAAATATTTTTCCCAAAACAACTTCCTCCTATCATTAGTATCAAACTATAATAAAACATTTACTGTAATTAATATGGATGTTTTCTTTGTAACACTGCCTTGGTAAATGTTCCTTCAAACCTGTCATTTGCTGAGATTTTTTGTTCAATACATTTGCTTTTTTTTTTTCTATAAACCATTGTATCCACAGGGGGAAAAGGGAAAGAAGGGCAAAAAAGGGCCTAAAGGGGAGAAAGGAGAACAGGGTGCTCCTGGATTAGATGCACCTTGCCCGTTGGTATGTCTCATAAAACCAGTCCATCATGCCATGATATCTAATGAATTTGGGAAAGAGCAAAGGTCTAAAAGCCATCTTGCCTGATCTAGATGTTTAAAAAATAAGTATTGCCAAAGCTGAATTTTTTATGCAGGTGGCATTTACTAAGCAACTGTACAATTTAGCAACTTTTAAACTCCTATTATGAACGTTTACACCATTATGAGTATCAACGTTGGTGCCTGGTGTATGAGAGAGGTGATCAGTCTTTGGTGACTTGGTAAGTTCTGTGCTCATCATTGCAGGAGGCTCTCAGATGCTTGCTCTATCCCTTTCTTTTCCTTCCTTTTTTTTTTCTACAGGAGCAATAACTGCAAAAGAATAATAATTTTCAGTAACATTGCAAGTTAATCTTTACAAACAGGGTTTCCGTGGATTAAAGGGGGAAAAAGGGGAACCAGGTCAACCTGGCCTGGATGGGCTGGATGCCCCTTGCCAATTGGTACAGTATTTCTCTTTCCTATCCTCCCTGCATGTGAGTCCTTGTCTTGGTAACAAATGCAAAGGCCACTCCTGGAACGTTTGCATTGGAAAAATCTGCATGCCTCTGCATGAATGAAGTGCATTCCACTAAATGATTAATGCTATATTTCTGATCCCACGTCTAACATCTAATGTAAACACCTACACTGTCTGTCCTTCCACTCTGTTTTTCCTCAGAATGTTTTAAGAGCAAACACTGGCAAATTTGCCCACACCGTCACACATAACCCTGCAGTAAAAATGGATAACCGCTATAAAATAGCTTACCTTATTAGCTTGTGACAACCTTTATCCAAAGGCAAGTAGGTAATCTATGTAGCGACGTAATAGCCTGCAGCCCAGTCCCTTCTATAGACACCTATTAAAACGGCTTAGTCTCCCTGTGAAACTTACTTGACCTTCCCTGTAGTTTTTTTCACAGCTTCCTCTCCTCAACTCAGCATGAATCTAAAATCCTGCCCATACTAAAATTATACTAGAAATCCCTTTCCTTGTACCAATATGGCAAACTTGGTTCTTTCTTTCATTAAGCTGCTTAAAAGTCACCGAAGTCAACAATATGTAAAATAGATACTCAAACATAATTAGGTAGATTAAGTAAACTGTTGAATTATGTTAGCATAAGTACATATTTTTTATTGTTTTGCTGGGGAAAAATGAAGCATGTATATTGCATATCTGTTTTATTTGTCTTTCTTGTACATATGGCATTTATATCTGGAGAATGCGTACTTTGGTATGATTTTAAAACAGTTGCATTGATGGTTTGCTTATCTGCTTGGCTAACGATAGTGAGCAATAAGTGTAGCAGCTAAATAATCATAGACCTTAATGTTTAAATAGAGAAGCTCTCAGAGCATACTCCAGGTAGAAATGGCTGTTCATGTCTAGCCATCAGTTCCTACAATCAACTAGGTTTCTTTCAAAAGAGATGTTGCTTTGTATGATGGCAGGCTTTCAGCATGCAAAGGATTAGGCAGTTTTGCATATTACAGTATGTGGTAAATGTCCTGAAATGGTTTATAAACCTGACTTTGGTTATATATAATAGTTCCAGATGCTAGTGTTCTTTCTTCAACTATCTTGAGGCTGAATTCATCATTATGGGTGCATGTTGATGCGTGTTAGTAACACACATTGTATATGTGTTTTGGGGGGCATTTTATTAATCTTTAAATAAAACCCCAGTAAACAACCCACGTGACCCTACAATGTACCACAATTAATGAAAATAAACATGTGTTGTGGTATGCTGCATTGGCCAAAAATGGGTCAGGTACTGCTTTTGTTGCGTTGACCATCATTAAGGGTCTATAGGAAATTAAAAATCAGATGCATAGTTGACTAAATGCATTGCAATGTGTGTTAAAAGCACCCATGCATAGTTGAGAAT